ACCAAACATGTAGCGCTAACGCCATTGATTCCTTAAGGAATCAATCGCGATTTCATTCTGAAGCTCAGATGGCTATGGCGATTCTGCTTGAACTTTCAAGCAAGACCTCAGTTCGCAAGTTATCTCCGGCGGAAGCGATAAGAAAAAGGAAAAATTATTTTTAAATTAAATTAATCGAATTCCAATTCTGTCCTGGAGATGATCATTCGTTTGGGGGTAAAATAGTAAATTACTTCCTATTCTCATTGGCGCAGTTTTGATTGGCTTGGTATTTCCCGCGGGTTCTCTTCACTGCGATAATGTTCTTCTGTTTCTCTCCGAAAGTTTTTTCCCCAAATCGTCGACAAAGTTGGAGAGTCGATTATCTTCCAAACGTGGCTGGACTAGCTCATGGATCCGCGCTTCTTTCCAGTAAGAACTGTAAGTAGAAATCTTAGAATTCATTTTGATCTCTTAATCGAAGAGTAGAACTGCATTTGTTAATTTTGGTGCGACTTTTGCCTGTTTCGACCTTTTGCCTTTCCACTTCCCCTGCCCTAGGTAGTTTTTGAGCCAGATTATTGATCTTGTTTGAGATGTTTAGAGTTCTATAACATGAGTAATTTACAAATTGATTAAACTGATCACATTCCAATGAGAAGAGATTCAATTCTTGTGATTGCTTTTCTCTCGGCTTTGTTTCTACTTTGAATAAGAATGAAACAGAATGAAATGAAAAGGAAAAAAGAAACTGGACTAGCTCATGGATCTACACTTTTTTCCAGTAAGAACTGTAAGTAGAAATCTTAGAATTCATTTTGATCTCTTAATCGAAGAGTAGAACTGCATTTGTTAATTTTGGTGTGACTTTTTCCTGTTTCGACCTTTTGCCTTTCCACTTCCCCTGCCCTAGGTAGTTTTTGAGCCAGATTATTGATCTTGTTTGAGATGTTTAGAGTTCTATAACATGAGTAATTTACAAATTGATTAAACTGATCACATTCCAATGAGAAGAGATTCAATTCTTGTGATTGCTTTTCTCTCGGCTTTGTTTCTACTTTGAATAAGAATGAAACAGAATGAAATGAAAAGGAAAAAAGAAACTGGACTAGCTCATGGATCTACACTTTTTTCCAGTAAGAACTGTAAGTAGAAATCTTAGAATTCATTTTGATCTCTTAATCGAAGAGTAGAACTGCATTTGTTAATTTTGGTGTGACTTTTGCCTGTTTCGACCTTTTGCCTTTCCACTTCCCCTGCCCTAGGTAGTTTTTGAGCCAGATTATTGATCTTGTTTGAGATGTTTAGAGTTCTATAACATGAGTAATTTACAAATTGATTAAACTGATCACATTCCAATGAGAAGAGATTCAATTCTTGTGATTGCTTTTCTCTCGGCTTTGTTTCTACTTTGAATAAGAATGAAACAGAATGAAATGAAAAGGAAAAAAGAAACTGGACTAGCTCATGGATCTACACTTTTTTCCAGTAAGAACTGTAAGTAGAAATCTTAGAATTCATTTTGATCTCTTAATCGAAGAGTAGAACTGCATTTGTTAATTTTGGTGTGACTTTTTCCTGTTTCGACCTTTTGCCTTTCCACTTCCCCTGCCCTAGGTAGTTTTTGAGCCAGATTATTGATCTTGTTTGAGATGTTTAGAGTTCTATAACATGAGTAATTTACAAATTGATTAAACTAATCACATTCCAATGAGAAGAGATTCAATTCTTGTGATTGCTTTTCTCTCGGCTTTGTTTCTACTTTGAATAAGAATGAAACAGAATGAAATGAAAAGGAAAAAAGAAACTGGACTAGCTCATGGATCTACACTTTTTTCCAGTAAGAACTGTAAGTAGAAATCTTAGAATTCATTTTGATCTCTTAATCGAAGAGTAGAACTGCATTTGTTAATTTTGGTGTGACTTTTGCCTGTTTCGACCTTTTGCCTTTCCACTTCCCCTGCCCTAGGTAGTTTTTGAGCCAGATTATTGATCTTGTTTGAGATGTTTAGAGTTCTATAACATGAGTAATTTACAAATTGATTAAACTGATCACATTCCAATGAGAAGAGATTCAATTCTTGTGATTGCTTTTCTCTCGGCTTTGTTTCTACTTTGAATAAGAATGAAACAGAATGAAATGAAAAGGAAAAAAGAAACTGGACTAGCTCATGGATCTACACTTTTTTCCAGTAAGAACTGTAAGTAGAAATCTTAGAATTCATTTTGATCTCTTAATCGAAGAGTAGAACTGCATTTGTTAATTTTGGTGCGACTTTTTCCTGTTTCGACCTTTTGCCTTTCCACTTCCCCTGCCCTAGGTAGTTTTTGAGCCAGATTATTGATCTTGTTTGAGATGTTTAGAGTTCTATAACATGAGTAATTTACAAATTGATTAAACTGATCACATTCCAATGAGAAGAGATTCAATTCTTGTGATTGCTTTTCTCTCGGCTTTGTTTCTACTTTGAATAAGAATGAAACAGAATGAAATGAAAAGGAAAAAAAAAACTGGACTAGCTCATGGATCTACACTTTTCTCCAGTAAGAACTGTAAGTAGAAATCTTAGAATTCATTTTGATCTCTTAATCGAAGAGTAGAACTGCATTTGTTAATTTTGGTGCGACTTTTGCCTGTTTCGACCTTTTGCCTTTCCACTTCCCCTGCCCTAGGTAGTTTTTGAGCCAGATTATTGATCTTGTTTGAGATGTTTAGAGTTCTATAACTTGAGTAATTTACAAATTGATTAAACTGATCACATTCCAATGAGAAGAGATTCAATTCTTGTGATTGCTTTTCTCTCGGCTTTGTTTCTACTTTGAATAAGAATGAAACAGAATGAAATGAAAAGGAAAAGAAAAAAACTGGACTTAGCTCATGGATCTACACTTCTTTCCAGTAAGAACTGTAAGTAGAGATCTTAGAATTCATTTTGATCTCTTAATCGGAGAGTAGAGCTTCATTTGTTAATTTGGGAGTGACTTTTTCCTGTTTCGACCTTTGCCTTTCCACTTCCCCTGCCCTAGGTAGTTTTTGAGCCAGATTATTGATCTTATTTGAGATGTTTAGAGTTCTATAACATGAGTAGTTTACGAATTGATTAAACTGGTCATATTTCAATGAGAAGAGATTCAATTCTTGTGATTGCTTTTCTCTCGGCTTTGTTTCTACTTTGAATAAGAATGAAACAGAATGAAATGAAAAGGAAAAGAAAAAAACTGGACTTAGCTCATGGATCTACACTTCTTTCCAGTAAGAACTGTAAGTAGAGATCTTAGAATTCATTTTGATCTCTTAATCGAAGAGTAGAGCTTCATTTGTTAATTTGGGAGTGATTTTTTCCTGTTTCGACCTTTTGCCTTTCCACTTCCCCTGCCCTAGGTAGTTTTTGAGCCAGATTATTGATCTTATTTGAGATGTTTAGAGTTCTATAACATGAGTAGTTTACGAAGAGATTCAATTCTTGTGATTGCTTTTCTCTCGGCTTTCTTTCTACTTTGAATAAGAATGAAACAGAATGAAATGAAAAAGGACAAAAAGAAAAAACCATATATATCTTGATTCCGAAGCCTTCTTGGGGAAGCCAAACAAGGGACTGCATTAACCTGATTTACTTTGAAATATGGTTTTCTTCTCTGTGCCTCAAGCTCCGATTATGGGCAAATCCAAAATGGTTTGTCTGCTCTGCAGAACCCGAAACTCATATTTAACTTATGGGCCCTAGAGGTGTACAGCTCCAATAAACACAATTCATGGAGAGTGAGCAAGATCTTACAAGGTTTAGGTGCTAAGATAGAGCTGGGGAAGCCATATTTATACAATCTCTATTTGTAGTAATCGAGCAGGATAGAGCACAGAAAAGGAGAATATTTCAGTGGGGTGGGGGGTAGTATTAGTGGCAAAGACACTTTTGACTATTGGAGGCTATTTTGCTAGACATTCCAGATTCTTATTTATGTTTTTGGATTCACGACATGTGCCATATGTTTTTTGACGCAAGTTTTTGGATTTTGGGATCAAAATTGTGTAAACTTCTTTGAAAACAGCATTGTCATGTTTTTTTTTTTTTTAATTTGAAATTTTAAAATAAAGGTTTATATTAAGAAATATAATCTTTCATGTTATAAACTCAATTTATTTTTGTTAAACTAAAATATGTATAATATAATATGTTATAAAGTCTATGATATTGTAAAATAATAATTATACAAATCTTTTAACATAAAACATGTTCATAAGTTAATTAATAATAATTTATATAAAACCTAGTATTTAGTGAGCAAATATGGCTGGTTTTATGATTTATAAAAGTATTATATGTAACACATTTTGAACTTAAATTGAGATCCAATTTCTGAATATGTTACCAATATTTAAAAAGAATGATGTAGAATATTAATATTGGATCCTTTAGCTTTTGATATTTAATCTTTAAATTTGAAAAAGAAATAATATCTATTCAGTTTATAACCTTGGCATTAAACCATTACTTGACAGCGTAGTAAGTTCTTAAGGTACAGGATGAAACCAGAATTTTCACAAGAAATTTGCAAAATTTTACCTTTTAACTTTTGTGCGTGTACTATTTTTCAATTTCGAAAATTTATGGGGGCTAAAGAGGAAATTTTAAGATCTTAACTTCTTTTTATATAATTTTTAAAATTCAAGATTAGTTGCTCCTCCTTTCCCTTGGATTGTAATTTTTATTTCAAAACAAACCAATTAACTTATACGATGAAAGGTTTCCATCATCTTCAACTGAGGTTAAAGCCTCTCAGTTGTAAGATGGAAGGTTTTTTTTGGTCTTGAGGATCTTGGCTTTCATCTTGCAATCAAGACAAGTCCATGTCACTTGTGAGGTGAAAGCAAAAGGGGGAACAAGGGTTGAGGACAAAAAATCATGGTAGAGAAGATAAAACATAAATTATAGGATGATTTTTATCAATGATAACATAAACAATAGATCTGCAATCTGATTGACCTTCAAGGTGAAAAAGATGAAAGCCCACACGCTATGTCATGTGACCAAATGTCCTAAATGATCTCCAATGCATTGTCCATTACAGATAATGATCAACAACTGTTACCCTCATACCATACTTCCCTGCAATACAGATACTAAAAAACGATGCAAATTTATATGATTCCTGCTACAGACTACTCCAACCATCAGGAGTTAAACGAAATATTGATTTCATAAGCCATTTTGCACTTTCTCCTACACATTGCATACAAGTAGTGATGTTAGTTGGGGATCAGATGCACCACTTATAGAGGCACCTTTGCTTTTTAGAAGCATCAGATATTCCAAAGCTTCCTTAGATATAACCTCACCTGGGAATATTACTGGTATTGCTGGGGGGTATGGACTTAATAGCTCCCCAGACACCTTTCCCACACACTCTTCAATCTTCACCCTCCTTTTTTTGGCAAAAAATGCATCTCTAGGATTCAAGCTGAATTTGATATCCAGAAAGGGAGTAGAAACACTAAGTTTGTTGCTTCCTTCAATTTCTAAAATGGATGCAAAAGAACTTACATCCTCAATGCCTGATACAAGCCTTCGAATATCGCCTTCACATGTTCCAAGGTTAATGGCGTAAGTAATAGATTGGGTCCCAAAAAGTTCACAAACGATGTCATGATTCTTGTATAGCATTTTGTCTGCTTCATAGCCAGACAGGCCGAGTTGCTGGAAACCAACAGTGAGTCTCAATGGATCACTTGCAGGGAAGTTAGAGAAGATGGGAAATTCTAGGATAGATATACCTGAAATTTTCTTTATACATTCTTTTGCTTGATTGGCTAAAGCTATTGCTTTGGTGAAAATTTTGTTTCGATTATCACTTAGTTGAGCTCTGGCAGCATCTAATGATGCTAAAAGTAGATAACTGGGGCTAGTGCTTTGAACTGCTTCCAAACATCTACAAACTCTTTCTCTGTCTACAATATTCCCTGACATGTGCAACATTGATGACTGAGTAAGAGAGCAGAGAACTTTGTGGGTGGATTGAGCAACCAAATCAGCCCCTTGCTTGAGTGCTGAATGAGGTAGTTGAGGTTCAAACCCAAAGTGTGCCCCATGAGCCTCATCCACAATCAAAGGAATTCCATGAGAATGACATATTTGAGAAATCTCACTCAGGTCACTGCAGATGCCATGATAAGTAGGTGAAGTAACAAAGACAGCAGATACTTTTTGACCCTCCGTCTTTGACTCCTTGATTGCCCTATCTATCTGTGGAATGAGAAAGTTTTAGATTAGCAGGATATTCATCAGCTTAAAAAGATATAAGGGTTTAATTTGTGGGAAAATCTTCCTCAGTTGATCTAAGAATTGGACATTACACTGTTAAAAAGCTTAGGATGTTGTGCTCATTTATGATTTTCTTAGCACTAATCCAGGGAAATTTAGATCTACTTGGAATAACTTTTAAGTGCTTAAGAAATCATTTTCAAGTACAAAGGTCTTAAAAAGTCATTCCAAAACACTTAGAAACTCAGTCCAAACATATTAGGGTAGAACAATTTAGATTCGTGAAATGGTATTGTACTATACTACTAAGCATTATTCCATTGAGAAAGTACAAGCTATATGACATGTTTGTATTAGTAAGTTGAAAACCATTGTTCCTCACTCACCTGTGATGGAGTTACTCCACCAGCAATGTCCCAATTGGAATCATACTCCGGCATGATGTATCTAGGTATTGCACCAGAAAACACTAAAGCAGATACGACTGACGAATGGGAACTTCTTGGAAGGATTATATGTTCTCCTGGGGAACAAGTTGCCATAATTGCAGCTTGAATTCCACATGTGGTTCCTCCAACTAGGAACCATGTCTCTGATGCTCCAAAAAGCTTTGCCGCTTCCTGCATTGCTTCTAAAACTGGGCCCTTAGGATGAAATAAATTGTCCAGCTCAGGAATTTGAGTTAAATCATGCATAAATGGTTTAAGACCAATAAGCTGAGTTAATGAAGATGGTGCCGCTCGCCCTCCGTTATGCCCCGGGAAGTGAAAACGAGCTGCGTTTCGCTCAGCTGAAGCTTTCAGTGCATTGATCAGTGGGGGGGAGCTTGGAGAATCTGCAAATGTTGCCTTAGTACTTTGTTTTTTGCTTGTTTTGTCTTGATTGTTCTCTGGTTCGATGCTTGTTTCCTGCCGTAAAATTGAAGAGTCAACATAAGCACATCCTTCACTTTCACTCTTGAAAAGCATAATTTCACGAACAACGCCCTTTTTTCATCAGATAGATCTTTCACATTTAGATAGGAAAGGCAGACTGTTCTGTCACATTCAAAATCACTCTTACACATGTCTTTAATCATTCAAATTCAAAATTACTCTTACACATGTCTTTAATCATTCAAAATCAATTTAATAGGAGAGTATCTCTTTTAAAAGTTATTTTTATGCCATCAAAATTGATTTTGAAAGATTAAAGGTATATGTAAGAGTGATTTTGAACTAGACCAAATTGATTTTTACGATTCTAAAATCAATTCAAAGCATATGTCCTTACTCTTTGTAGATTTCTATTAGTACAATGTCTGTTTTATTAGGAACTTTTCCTAGATTTAGCTATTGAAGTTAGGTGGCATCCATCAAAGTTTTATCAGGAACTTTGATACGACAAGGATCAGAAAGAAAAAAAGATACTTGAATGGTTCTTGGAAACCAAAAGAAAAAAAGATTGCATAGACCTGAGGAACACTGAAACATGATTTTCTTCTTTGTGGCCTAAAGCTGCAGTTGCTGCCAAACCCAAAATGGTTCGCCTGCTGCACTCAAAATGGCAAGTTTTATAAATAGAACAACTCCAGATCTTTGTTACAGATTCCAATCAAAAGCATATCCAAATTGTAACATCTATGGAGAGAAAGCAAGAACTTACAAGGTTTATGGAGGAAGACAGAGCTGCAGAAGTCATTGTTTATACTACGATCTACTACTGGTATGAAGCAATCAAAGTTCCACCATTTTTATAGCTTAAAAATACTATTTGCTTTTTTTCCTGGATTCCATTTCCGTTTGGCTTTTAAGTATTCAATTTTAGTCAAAATTAGTTAAATAGTTTCATCAAAAAAACAAAAAATCATAATTTATAAAGAGAACATTAATATAGACTATTTTTAAAATTAATTTGAAAAGATTTACTTGAGATGAACCATACAAATTTAAATGGGACATTTAAACGTTGAAACTGAAATGATAAGAGTCGAATCTTATTTTAACAATTTTTCTTTATGATAAATTTGGTCTTCATTTGAGATGAACCATATGAAGGGACCAAAAGAAGGAATAATATTTTAGGACAATAATTGTATTTTTAGGTAGAAAAGATTCGTTGCACATTTTGTTGGTGAATGACATGAATGGCCCAATCCCCATAGCTTTTTACTCCCTTCGGGGCGAAACAATTCCAAGAGAGAATGGCATAGGTCATCAGCAGGAATGGTATATCCTATGAACCACACTTTATTTTCTTTAAAATATTCATAATTTTTTTAAAAAATTTATCCACTCCTCTATGGTTGTGCTCCAACGGTAGAAAGGTGAGGTTAATATCTTTTTACCTCGGTGGATCAAATTAACATTTCAAAGATACATGGTTTATTTTCCACTTTTTGCAATTATAGGACAAACAAAATGTAGCCAAGAGGAAAATTAATCTCTATAACTTAACATGGAGCGAGAAAGAAACAAAAGACTCGAATCGAAATCGAAAAACTTTGGAGTACAAGTTTAATTCTGAAATTTTAAGGTTTGTGTCATACACATCATTGAACTTTAACAAAAATATATAATTAGTCAACTTTTAATTTTATATTATATTAAGTTATTGAACTTTCAATTTGTATTCATTTTTGTATAAAATTTAATTGTATTTATAATAAATTCATAATTAAAACAAACGTGAAAATGCTATTGTCCTATGACATACAATTGAAACATTAAAGACTTATTTGACAATCTTAAAATTTAAAAGACATGTCAAACAGAAAATTAATTTAAAGTTCCAACACCCATTAAATAATTTTAAAGTTGATAGAGGTATAAGAAGAAAAGGAGCAAATGAAAGACTCGGTCAAGTTAGAAGCCAGCCATAAGCATTTTGTTTTTTGTATTCACAATATTCTCGTAGCCTTAATAGAATTATATTCTATTCTTAGCCCTCTTCTTCCTCCCTCCCTGCGTCCTTCTCCAACCCTTTTGTTACCCTCTTTTCTTTCAATGCCCCATCAAAATTGCATTCTTTCTTCAACCCCATCCCCACCAACACAACCTTCTCCACAATTGCCAAACCACCGTTTTTTATTCCAGGGCGTGCACGCTGCCGCCGCTGCGTGCATTTCCATTAAATCATAGGCTTATGGCCTGCCCATCTCTGCCGCCGGCCACCATCACCTCCGTCATTCTCATTGTGATCTCATTGGAGCTGATTGTGTGTTGGGGCGCTCACACGGATGCAGAAGCGCTCCTCAAGTTCAAAAGCTCTCTTGAAATAAGCAATGATGCGTTACGTGATTGGGGCCCGGAGTCCTCCCCTTGCTCCGAGAACAAGGCGAATTGGGTGGGTATTATTTGCCACAAGGGCCATGTTTGGGGCTTGAAGCTCGAGCACATGGGGCTGAAGGGCAGCATTGACATGGAGTCCCTCGAAGGGATCCCCTTTTTAAGGATTATTAGCCTTAAGAACAATAATTTTGAGGGCTCTTTGCCGGATGTCAAGAGAGTTGGGGCATTGAAATCTCTGTTTTTGTCTGGAAACCAATTCTCAGGCAGCATTCCTGGGGATTCGTTTTCCAACATGATGTCTTTGAAGAAGGTTCATTTGGCACACAACCAGTTTGAGGGTCCGATTCCTTGGTCCTTGGTCGAGTTGCCTCGCTTATTGGAGTTGAGGCTGGAAGGAAACAAGTTTTCTGCCCGAATTCCTAATTTCCAGCAGAAGGCATTCAAGTCCTTTAATATCTCCCATAACGATCAACTTCATGGCCCAATCCCACAAGCCCTCTCCCGCATGGATCCATCCTCCTTTTCAGGTGTTCATCATCTCTCCACTTTTCAGAAATCATTTATACCACCACTTCTAAATCGCAGATATAATCAAACAACTTCATGCACTTTCCAATATGAACACATCTGTCCATTTCCTTAATGTATTATTTTTCTAAGAACCTAGTTCTCCTATATGCAGGCATTGAAGGCTTATGTGGACCGCCACTTAATAAACCATGCAATACCGCAGATATGCCATCAATCGCGAGCATCATCATGGTTTCAATAGCTCTGACACAAGCTTTGCTTGCCATCGGTGCAGGAATAGTAATCCTTAGCCGTCGGAACCAATCATCTTCTTGTGAAGAGGTTCCAGCCAACGGCAAATCTCCAGGTGCTAGAGCGTTAGATCCAGGAGTCGGGGCAAAGTCACCGGACCGTGCCTCCAGTCATGGATCGGGGAGACGGGTGGCTGAGGGTGCTAAGTTATCATTTGTAAGAGAGGACTTGGAGAAATTTGATTTATCAGACTTGCTTAAAGCCTCTGCACAGATCCTAGGAAGTGGGTGCTTCGGTTCTTCTTACAAGGCAGCCATGACCGGCGGACCTGTGGTGGTTGTAAAGAGGTTTAAGCAAATGAACAATGTGGATAAAGATGAATTCCAAGAACATATGAAGAGAATTGGAAGATTGAAACACCCCAACTTGCTTCCTCTCGTAGCCTACTTCTACAAAAAGGAAGAAAAGCTTCTCATAACAAACTTTGTTGAGAAGGGTAGCTTGGTTATTCAACTTCATGGTACATTCCCCTTTTCTTCTTCTTATACCTCACTAAAATTGGTTAAAAATATTTATAAAAAGATTAAATGTATCAACTTATACTTTCGAGTTTATTGGTACTTTCTCATAACATCAAAACAAAAGGTCTTCTAGTTAAGTTCCAATAGAACACAAGTGAAGGAACATGTTAAGAATGTGCACAAAAGATTAGAAATACCATAAATCATCAACTTAACATGATGTTAGAGTAGAAGAAGGTTTAGTGTTTGAACTAGTATGAAGTTCGCGAGTGAGGGGAGCGTTAAATATACCTTAACCTGTTAGTTTAACTCAAGAGTTTGGTAGTCAACAGAAAATACTTCAAATTTTGGCTCAATTGGATTCTCTTGTCTGTGTCTTTCAGGGCAAAAAGCCGAGGGTCAACCAGCCCTTGATTGGTCTGCAAGGTTGAAGATCATCAAGGGCATTGCAAAGGGTCTTCGCTATCTCTACAGTGAGCTTCCAAGTCTCATAACCCCACACGGCCATCTCAAGTCCTCAAATGTGCTTCTCAATGCCAACTATGAGCCCCTTCTTTCGGACTATGGCCTGATCCCAGTTATCAACCAAGAGCACGCCCAAGATCTAATGGTGGCCTACAGATCCCCGGAGTACAACCAACAAGGTCGCATCACAAAGAAAACAGATGTGTGGAGCTTTGGGCTGTTGATCCTAGAGATTCTAACAGGGAAACTCGTAGCCAACTTTCTGCATCAGGGCAAGGGTGGGGACGAGGAAGATTTGGCAAGTTGGGTCAAATCCATTCCTGCGACAGAATGGAATAGCCAAGTATTTGATAAGAACATGGGGCCAACCAAGAGCAGCGAGGGTGAGATGATGAAGCTTCTGAGGATTGCATTAGCATGTTGCGAGAGCGACTTTGAAAAGAGGCTGGATTTGAGAGAGGTTGTGGAGAAGATTGAGGAGTTGAAAGAAAAAGATGGGGATGAAGATTTTTATTCTTCATACGCCAGTGAATCTGATGTTAGATCTTCAAGAGGGTTATCTGATGAACTCAATTTTACCATGTGAGTTGGGGCTTGAGTTAAAAAGGCTTATAAAGCAACAGCAGATACCTCATGAGAAGACGATACAACTCACCTGCTAATTCTAGCAGAAGGATGTGAGGTTGAAGATGAAGATACAGTGGAGCAGGGGCTTTTCGATGAATAGAATAGGTTTTGAACGTAGAATGGGAAATTATTGTGTTTCCTTTGGCTCAACAATGCTTAGGAAGTTCGATTCATGAATGGTAATTCTCTCCTGGGTGGAAATCTCTAAACTCATGAGTACTACTTCAAAAAGAAAAGTATAATCCTAGACAGCAGTAAAGTAAGCACACATGCATTAGATTATAGCAGAGAAGGCATAGAGTTGTACCATTAAAACAGCTTCGCTAAACAATTCATTTGTGCTCTCCAGTTGGGAATTGGATATGAAGTAAATTAGTCAGATAGTTTACTTCCTCAATCAAATAGATGGAAACAAGATTTGAATATAGCTCAAATGGATAAGTATGAGTAACTTCCCTGAAACGCTAGAGGCTTGAATCTCTGGCCCATCCCTCTGAAACAGTTGATCTAACCAAAAACTAGCCTCCAACCTGAGACAAATACAAACACCTGGAGTGATGTGTGATAAAATGCATACCAACTTTCACAACCCAAGTAGACATTTCTCTTAACACAATTCAATCATTAAATCTAAGGTTGTAGAAATTTGGTAATAATAACACCGCCAATCAAAAAGGGTTGGTAGTAGCCCATGCAACTTTGATCGGGAAAAGGAAAAAATCAGTCATTTAAAGTGAAGCAATTTTGTGAATCAAATTCAGTATAACCTACCTACATCAACAAGACTGAGGCCATCGGGAGGCGCCGGAGGTACAGTAGCACATCGACATGTGGCACCCATCAGCCGTATTAACGCATCCTCTCAAGCACCAGCAACTGCCTCTCTAATTGCTGTCGCAACAAGCACCCGTACCATCTGCAAGGTCATCCTTACATTACGTTCCATTATAATTGGCTGAACTGCTGAAGGACAAGGATTCCACAGAAGACATAATAATTAGTGTCATGTAAACGTGAAAGAGCCATTTACGGCCTAATGGTTGTATCACCATTGCTAAAACGGAAGGGAAATTCCCTTGCCGATGTATAAGATGTTAACCCTCCATTTTAAGCAGTTGGAGAACGGATTACCCAAATCTAATTAGACCAATTTTACGTTCGGTACAATATAGTCTTCAGCATAGGCAACCCCAGAGACGATACCTTCTGCAAGAAGCAATTGGCAACCAACCAGCTCAACACAAACACATCTTCCTACTCGGTCCTGTCAATAATACACTAATTGGCTGAATATAGTTTGAATCAAAACTCCAACCTCTATTACAATAATTCCTATTATGCAACATAAACTTCATATTGGCTCAATAGAATTAAAACAAAAACAGAATAAGAAGAAATGTCTTTATGAGAAGAAAGCAATAAATAGAATTAAACCAAAAAGAAAAAGAATTATGATACTTAAACTAGAAGCTAGAATAACTTCCAAAAAAGGAGCAAATAATTGGTAAAATTCATGATTCTCACTCATTTCATGATGCTTTGGTGTCACGTGCAAACATCTTGTACGACAATAACTTTCCTTCTCGTTTCCTAAGTAGTTGGTTGACCCTCCTTACACTAAACGTTTGAGGCTTATCAGCCGACACAAGGTCCTCATCATTCTCACAAGTTATTTGACATACCCTTCCAACACTTTGGGCATAGAGCAGTCGGGACAAAGACACCTATTTGACTATTTGAGTGTTTTAGTGAAGCACAACAAAAGTGGATTTCAGAAAACGGATATGACAATCAAGTCATGTCTATTCATCACAACTATTAAAGAAGTCAATAAATAATATATAAGATAAAATTTATTCTAACATATGAGTTCATTTTTAAGCTGAGATAGAATCTAAGAAAATCAAGGAAGAGTAATGAAATTCAATCTCCAAGCAAAAATTCATGTCAACAGAGATTAAGAAGCCAACATACAGAATAAACCGTGTCGCAGAGCTGTCACCCCTTTGTCAGTGCGCCCAGCAAGCAACCCACAGCACATCCTACTGTTGGTAAGCACCTATCTCTCAGCAGCTGAGCTTTCTTCTCATCTACAAACTTCCCTAGAGATCTTTATACCAAGCTGCCAAAGGATACAAGTAAACATAACCTTCCAATATAAAAGCAGCGTTTGCTGTCTCTAGATTGAAATCAAACTGTTTATACATCTAAAGATATTAAAATATTACTTTAAACCACATAATGGAAGAAAAGATACAGTACCAGAAAGGTTAGATTAACAAGGTTGATCGACTTAATTTGGACATTGTCCTCAAGACGAAAGTTTCACTTTGTATGGAGGCCATATGATTTTCAATTGTATCTCTAGAACTAACTTCTCAAACGTTTTCTAAAAATTACAAGTTCTTAACAATCATTCAGTTTCAAAAGCTCCTAATTTCATACGATAGTACTTGCATATGGTAAATTTCTTAAAATAAGCTTACCCCTAAACAGTATTCAAGCCTGGCTGCTTTTGCCACCCATAAAAAGAAACCTCATGGAAGGAAAGAACAATCTTAAATGTTGCCCTAGCCCACCTCCCAGTCCCATCTTTAACTGAAGCTCTGTTTAACTCTGCTATGTAGTAAATCAATGGAGTCTCGGCATCATTAATGATCATGACCTATCTGTAGATGAAGAACTGTATACAATAACTAAAAAGAAATCAACGATATCCTCTTGTTTTTTACAAGATAACAACGTACAAAATTTTCCTTCCCATTTCTCCTTATTGTAATCAACCAATGAAATTAAAACAACATTATTTAAAGAACATGAACGTGATCAACAAATCAAATGCAACAATTGATAGCAAGGATCATATTAAAAACCATCTCCAGATCTGAGAATTGAAGCAAAACTTAGAACATACACAGTTATAGCAATCGCCAGTCTTAGATGGCAGCCATTATTTTAAGAACGAGAGAACCAGCAGAAAAAGAAATACGATTCCTTCAGGATATAGGAAGTCCTACAACAAATACATTATTCTTGCTATTTTCCCTACAATTTTAGGATGCAGGAAAAGGATTCAAAATTGTTTTCAACTTTTCTTGGGATTGCATTGCATGAAGCAAAAGAAAGCAATCATAGATATCAACATCGAGAGATGGTGAAAAACTGTCCAACTACAATATTGTGACGAAAGCAGCTTAAGATATATAAATATTGATCTTTAGCACTACAAGAGATTGGCATCCATGTGCTCGCAAAGGAGAGAAAGGGAGACCTAGCTCACGATTCCATTGCTTCCATTTCAAGAGAAGGAAGAACTATAGAGAACCGTGAGGACCTTCCATTAACAGCATGAAAGTAAGAATCAAGCACTTCTTGCCACGGACTTCCATACATGAATTGGTAGCTTCGCCAGGTAATAGCAAAACAACAGCTTGATTAACTACCTTCTCAGATTCAGATTGAAAAACAAAAACAAAAACAAAAACAAAAACAAAAACAAAAAAGTACGAAGCTCATACAAGAGATTAAAACCTAAAATCAATAAAGCAATATATAATGAAAATGTACGAAACAAAAACCTGGCAGTCCATCTCCCATTTCTGCAGCGATCAGTGAGGTTATAGTGAAGATAGTCCTTTTGCTGAGCTTGATTCTCCATCAGAATCCTTAAATCCAAATCGAAAGTCCAGCCCTCGGTTCTGGTATCCTAACCATCGCTCGCCCTGCCTGCGCGGACACTGTATTTTGCAGTTGCAGCCGCCGCCGCAGCAGGGACGAGACTGTAAATCCACGTAGATGATACAGTCAAGCAGATGAAAGATGGCAAGCCGATGTTGGTCCAACTGGAAAAGCCCAATAAGTCCGCCATTACGGGCCTAACTCGACTCACTTAAGTCAGTAATTTTGGGCCCATGGATATAGGCCCAAGCCTATCTCGGCCCACAAAGAAAATAATTGGTCTTCTTCCCCGTTTGTGGTTGGTGGAGCAAAGGAGGACGGGGTGAAAAAATCTCACGGGCGGAGACGCTAAATTTAATTATTTATTTACATTATTATTATTATTATTGTGATTATATATAATATTAAACGTCTTTGTATTTTTATTAAATAAAAATTAAGCTAAATTAATAAAAATATCATATTTTTAAACCGTTTTCAAAAGTTTCAATAATACCCTTGAACTTAAAAAAAATATATCTCAAAAATACCTTTCAATTCTTAATGAAAATTAAAAAAAATTTTAAAAAAAAAAGCTTCTGTTCAAAGCAGAAACAAGTGACGTCGTGGTGGCCGTCGTCAGCTGATAAAGTTTTTCCGTCGACCTTTAAGTATAGTTCTAATGAATAAGCGAGGAGAATCAAGAGTTTTCTCCCTTTGTTCATCAAGCCCGATGCGCTTCGACAATATGTCGGAGTCATGGACGCTATTGCTCAACCGCACTTCGCTTCCAGGTGGGACGATAAGAGCGAAGTCATCGTAGCTCCCACTATCAAGGAGTATGTCTCTCTCTCACTTAGATGGGTCGAAAATATAATTCTGACACAATTTTATATTGTCCACTTTGAGCATAAGCTTCGGTGACTTTATTTTTAGTTTATCCAAAAATGTCTCGTACCAACGTAGATGTATTCCTTACTTCAAATTTGGGACTCATCTCCCAACAATCCTCAACAATCCTTCTCTCGTGTAAATTACATCATAGAGTCTCCTCTAAGGCCTATGGAGCCCTTTCACCCCTTCTCTAGAGCCCTCAAACAATCTACATCCTTTGTTTGACACTCGAGTCACTTTTGACTACACCTTCGAGACTCACAACTTATTTGTTCGACATTTGAGAACAAAATACATCATAGAGCCTTCTCTAAAGCCTATGGAGCCCTCGAACAACCTCCACTTCTTGTCTGGAGCGCTCGAACAAAGTACACCATTTATTCGACACTTGAGTTACTTTTGACTACACCTTTGAAACTCACAACTTATTTGTTCGACATTTGAGAACAAAATATATCATAGAGCCTTCCTTGAGGCCTATGGAGCCCTCGAACAACCTCTACTTCTTATCTGGAGCTCTCGAACACCCTTTATTTGACACTTGAGTCACTTTTGACTAACACCATCGAGACTCATAACTTCTTTGTTTGATACTTGAGGATTAATCCTCCCCTCAACAAATAATAAAGCCTT